GGCCCTCACCCCTCACCTGTAAAGCATGATCTTAGTGTCAACGATCTGAATCTCTTTGTGTGTGTCCAACACCCAAGCCAGACGACGTCGAATACTCTCCAGCAGCTCCAACTTAGCCTTGTAGAAGCGTTTCAAAAAATCCAGGATGCGCTTTTGGTTCATGGACATCTCGTGCAGTGCCTGCGTCACGCTACTACACACATCGTCCAGCACCGTCTTGTCTCCACAACTCATCACCCGCTGTTCCTGCTTGGTCACGTATTCGCGGTACTCCGACTGCGCATCCTAACAACGACAAAACGATGACGTCATCATCATATTTTATTTGAATTTTAATCACACATTTTGCTTTCATATGAAAATTTAACTCTGGCATTATGAGTTTACAAGCAAACCGATAGGTTTCGATATCGTCAATAAGAAAAACAATTTTATCTCTCTCTTCTGAATTCACACGGTGTAGTCGCAGCGTCCCTTTACTTAAAGTAGCCTTTTGAGTACTCTCCGGCTCCGTATTCGTGCACTTGCAGTTCAAGATGCATTTCGCATCATTATCTGACGTTATCCGACTTCGAACATACACTGCTGCTCCATGCAAAACTAAAGTACTAGAGTACATGAATACTAATTCCCACTGCGATTATGTTCGTTGGGAAAAATATATGTACAGTGAGATTTATCCTTTAATGTCTATCTCGAGGATGACAAGAAACAAGTTGTGACTTTACTGTTCTTCTATAGTGAGCCCAATCAATCTGTCATCGTCTACGCCGCCATATTACTCAGGATTTGAAGTTTTTTCACTGATTCATCGACATGTGCTCCTAAACATGATCATCAGCGCAATCATCATCAGCAATCATTGCTGTCAATCATAATTATCATTATCACCTAGATTTAGTAGCAAAACTTTATATCCTCAGCAATGAATATATTCACTGCTCCAAAATAACATCTTGGTTGTACTTTCTGGATGAGACAGAGCACAAAGACTAACAGAATAATTTTTACCTTCGTTTTCAGAATGCTTTGCAGAAACTCATTAAGTGAGACGAGTCGCTGGCCGAGTCCGCGGATCTCTTTCATGTCTACGGCGCCGGCTCGCTCCTTGATGTATTCGTGCCAGCGCTCGATGCAGCCGATTACCTGTGAATCCGAGTCTTCATCGATTACACTGCGGACGTCGTCGGCGAATTCTAGCAGACTGTGCTCTGACTCCTTGCTACTGATCCAATCGAATAGGGTCAGCGGTTGACCCGGTAGATGTGCACGTGGTGGAACGGCGATCGACGATGAAGACAAAGACACCGAAGCCGACGAAGAGGAGGCGAGGTCGATCGAATTCACGAGGCACGGTAGTAGCGGTACCTTTTTAAGTAGTTGAATATCATCGTCGAAGTGGATGAGGATATTTCGTGCCTCTCGTCTGTACTGCAGTGATTTGATGTGCTTATGTCGGAACCGTTCCACGTGTTGAAAAAACGCGGCAAATGTGTCCTCCAGGTTTGCAACCACCGAGCACCAACCCTGGTGCAACAAATGCTGCTCGTTCACCATCTGACTGCAGGCGCTGACCAACTCCTGGCAACTGCGCTCGATTTTCTTCGCCGTACTCGCGAAGCACTGCAAGAATGTGAACGAGGGCGCACGGCCAATCCACTGCTCAACTTCCTTCTCAACTTCCTCTGCATTCTGAAAAAATGAAAACAAATAAATCAAAGACAAATCTGTGTAACGCCTTTAAATCATACCATGTTTCAAACAACAACTGTATAGAACTTGGTCTATACTTACTACAGTAGAATGTCATATACTGACTATATATCCAGATTCAAAGATCATCATCGTCTGTTCAGGGGGCAAACGAAGTGGCCAAACGATTGCACCATGCTTTCACTGGCGATTAATAGGACGATTTAAATTAATGCGTCTGTTCCACTCTACTATGTAAATATGTCATACATGGATGTCTGGTATGTAGCATATATCTGCAATGCATTCCTGATGTTACAATACTACAAATATAAGTATCCATGT